AGAAATTATTAGCAACTTAAATAAAAAGATTCCAATCCTCTAACACTATTTACTCAAAATTTTCATTTTTTAAATGCACACGATCATAAATATAATCACAAATTCAATAGGACACTACTTTATAATTATATCTTATATTCAAGAATTAAATTCTTCCTTTATTCTATACATTTTATAGTATCGTTGGAGTGAGTTTTCTACAATTTTAAGTGCTTTTACACTTTAAATATATTTCCTAAACCAGTGTATGGTTAGTTCTATAAAAGTTTCGGTCAAATCGAATAAAAAAAATAATAATTTTTTTTCGAGTTATGTCAAAGGCTGCAAATGTAGCGTAATGTACTATTGTTAGATAAATTTAATGATGTAACATATAAGAAGAAAAATAGAATGCAATAGTGCATATCCTAACTGTTCTAAGAGAAACACCGAAAATAATGAAAATTGACATCTTATGGAATATTTAAGGGTGTTGGCACGACGTGATTCAACTCTTAAGTAGAAATATACTAGACTATAGAAAAACAGAAAATAATATACCCCCTAAAAGCTGAATTTTATTTTATTTTTTTTTCTTACAATTTGATATAGCCTTATAGTATTGTTAATGTGATACACTTAATATATACATTTATGTGTTTCTTTAACTGAAACAATGTTATTTTAAAAAAAAATATAATTGTAATTTTGATTTAAAATTTAAAAATTTACATATTTTTATTAAAATTTCGTAAAGATTTTATTTAGATGAGTTAAAAAAAAAAAGACAATAATATGATTTACAGCCTATTTTAGAATACAGCTATCATGGGTGCGGTCTCTATATTTCCGGACACGCCTGGTAACGTGCTTATGAGTTTAATTTCTTATCGGTCATAAGTAAAATCCTGTATTTTACTTAGGTTTCTGCATTAAAGTAAAAAAAACTTTTTTCTTATAGACGAACACTTGATTGAAACAGCTTATCTGTTTCGCTTTAATATGATAGCTAACGTGAGAAAAATCAAATTTTGACACGTTTACAACGTTTATCTTAAAGTTTATTACTAAAAATAGAATTTAATATTGTTTCTTTTCTTAATATAGACTTAATAATGAACTTCTAATTATATCATATATATATATATATTGAACTTGTTAATGAGTTATGTAATTAAATTAATAAGTTTATTGGATTCTAAAGTTTTATATTTTAATATATCCTATTGAATTTTTAAAATTTATTATTTAATTAATGTAATTAAACACGTAACATTAATTAGATAAGGAAAAGGTCATTGTCATAGGAAAGCTTCGTGAAAATTGATACATTTAACTGTTTCATATGGGAAAAGAAGAAAAAAAAAAAAGGTTTTGCCGAATTAAAAGTTCATTTTTAATGACAGATAACAAATGTTAAAGAATGCGGAAAATATTTTTCTATAACGTTCAATATTGATAAAAAGTCATTATTACTTTATGCTCAGTAATACACGCCTCAAGGTAAGGATAATATTCATTAAAACACTTACCAATTTAAGGATTAGAAAGGTAAGAAGATAATTATTATCTAATATTTTTATTCCATAATTTGTTTAATACATCATAAATTTTTATCAGTAAAAAGTAGTGATGTCAACACACAAAATATAAAGTAAAGAATCATTAGAAAGGGTTTTTTTATGGTCTGAAAGTTATTTTGATTCACAGGGAAGTGAATAAGATGAACTTTTGTAACGGGAATTGTTTGATAACCGGAAAATTTCTTCGATTTTAATAGTGTTAACTATTAAAAAATACTATTTTCTATAAATATTTGTGATATTTAACTAATATTTCTTAATGATTTAATTAAGAATAAAAATTAGTAATAGGCCTACAGTATTTATATAATATTATCTATTATAATATTCATAAAGAATTAATCTAATATAATTTTATATTTTAGTAGGATTCTAATACAATAAAATTGCTTTTTTGGGGGTAATTACTTTTTATAAAATTATTGAAGCATTTTGGAGACGATTATATTGGTTTGGTATGTTTTATCTTAATTCTTCAATCGAAAATGACATTGATGGATTGATTTTGGTCAAATAAATAAGTTATTTTCTCGAAATTAGTTGTTTTTTTAATGGTTATTTTCGAAAATTTAATTATTTCCAGTATTAGATCATGTGAATTAGATAATGCGAGATAAATATGTATGCACAAAATAAAGCGAAACGTATTAAATAGACAGAATTTTACTGTGACTTACAATATGAATTTTAATTAAAAAAAAGGCATAAACATTAAACATAACGAATATTCTCTTATACTACCATTGGTTTCTTTATAACAGACGTAATTTTTGTATAATTAGAGACAGAAATGAATAAATTGCTTAATTTCGAATGAAAATTTCATTTTCCACGTGTAACAATCGTAAGAAACATAAAAAGAGACGAGTTTCATCGACAATGGCCAGTACAGGTTGTAGGCGTCCAGTATTCTGTTAGGTAAAAACGCCTTATCCAATTCGTCTGAACTATTATTTAACGCCCAAGGTGCCGTAATGGTGACCTTGTGGACAGATAACAACGAACTTTGTTGAACAATAGGGGATGTGTCTGAGTTTTCCCAACCTCTCGCTTGGTGGGCGAGGTATTAGTACTCATAGGTGCACTTTAGAATAAGCTTCCTGGTTCCCATAATAAAATAAGAATAGATTCCAGTACTTTTTGTGAACTTTACAAAAGAAATAATTATAGTCAAGACACTTCAGATACTATATATTGAATAGCCTATACTGTAGAAAAGTAATTTTTGATTGGTCGATTTAAGTATTATTAAATTAAAGTAAATATAAACAAATATTATTTTATACAGTAATATATTTAAAAATCTTTTCGTCATTTAGTGTTATAACGATTCAAGTGTTTTATGCATTAATAATAACTGAATTTCAATTATAAAAAATCATTCTCGAAGAATTTTCCTTCAGTTCTTAAAAATTATATGTTAGAAAATATATTATTCCTAGTGTTTTTTTAATATAAATTTTCCTATAATATTTTATAATTTATAGCCTAAAGCCTTTTCTACCTAAATGGATAAAATAGTTTTCGAGAGTTTTTATTGTAGAGAAATTTTTTATTCAACGAATTATGATATAAAAAACAAGATATGTCAAGCAGGAACCATTAATAAATAAAAGATAATGTATAAAAAACGGTCACGATTTTACGTAATAATATTTTTTATAGGTTAAAGGGATTTAATGAGGGAGAAGGATACCCCATTTATCTTCAATAACATTCAGGCGTTAGCTAGAAAAACTAGGAAAAGTTTTTTTAATTATGTTCTATCAAGCCATAAAATATTTTCTCTCTAGGTTAACTATATAATTAGTATTCTAGAGATGTTCATGATCTAATAAATAATTTGTAACGTTGTTTAATAGTTCGTTAAGAATTTAAGCATTAGAAGATATGAATAATAAAATTTCAGAATGGAAGGTATTTTATTTAAGTTTTAATACAACTCCTCGTGTTTTAGCATATTTTAAATCATGGTCATAGATTCTGTTTTGTAGTAAAAACACACACAATAATATTTTAATTACAGAATTTTATTGACAAATTTTAACGTACAAAATCATTATTTTCACGTGTTTAATATTAAAATACAAGAACAAATTATTAAACAAAACAAGTAAAACAAACAAACAAACAATAACATTAAAAAAAATCCCACAAAACTGTCTTAAACCAATTCAATTCTCCCTGCAATGTCAACATTCCTGACTGACCAATCAAAAAAGCCTCAATTTTTAAGCCCTTAACCAAATTTTTGTTCTCCCAAATTGTGTTTATATTTAAAAAAATAATTAATATAGGATTTAAATTAAACCATTAAAACCAATAAAATGTCAAATATTGCCTCTTTTTGTCCCAATTTTTCCATTTAAATGGATTTTTTTAAATTTAAACAATTGGCACCTGAACTTAAAATCATATAAATTATTTTTAAATCTTTTGGATTTTATTATTTCAAGTTTACTATTATAAAAATAATCTTTATATATTTTTAATATTTTAAGCTGAAAATAGATATTACATGTTTTATTTTTCTATTCATATAAACCTAGAAAACTATTTTTTTTCTTTTAAATTGAATTTACAAATTGAAATTTTAATAGGATGAATATAGAAAATTGAGTATTAGCATTCGTCTTGAAAATGGCGATTTTTCTCTGAATATACAATGAAACTTTCAGTCTTTTTTCATTTGCATAATCAACACTGATTGGTCTGTTGGAATCACATTAATGCAAGTTCACGAATCAGAATTGATTTTATGATTTTCCGTATAATTCAGTTCTACTTGATACAGATTCTCGACTGCTACCAAGTCTGCTAGAGTGAGAACATCCACATTTAGATTTCATTAATAATATAGCGGAACAAGCTGTTATTAAGATAAGTTGAAGCGTGGCAGCTATAGTACATCCTGTATAAAACACGGGTCGAGTGAAGCAAACTCCTCTATCCATAGTTGCCAATATTCTTGAACTTTCATCTGAAATAATAAAGAAAAAAAAAATTCTATCTTAGACATTTGTCATTCACCATAATTAATTATATTTCACACGATGACAGTAAAAGATAACGTTAATTAATGCTAGAGGAAGGAGATAAAAAGTCATTTCTGGATCACCCACGCAGCATGCAATAACAGGTGTGTCTAATGGTCGTCGACATCATCCAGAAACTAATTATACTTTAATCTGTGGTCACGCCATAGTCAGTAAGCTAATAACAGTATCAAAAATAAAAGCAAACCTGCGTATCTAATGAAAAAATGCGTACATTCTATGCATAACGAAGAATATACTCAATAGGAAATCTTTTGTATATAAACATAAATTTTAATATATTACTTACTTTCTATTGAATTAGAAATTTTCCTTTCGAAACTGGGAAGTGTTGGCTTTAGATTATTCACAACAAAGACGGCACTTTCCATTGTGATATCAGTTACAACATCACCTGTTTGAAGTTCAAAAGATGCTATTTCAGATGATCTCTTTTTTCTTCCATAAGACTGTCTAAAATCTATTTCCTCTTGAATATTCTGGGTACAGTCAACCTGAAATAACAAATAAGAATTTTTATACTTCGTTTTTATTATTATTTTACGTATACATATGAATTCTTTATACACATATATAGACTAACATTTCTCGTTATTCTACATCATAAGAATAAATAATAAAGAAAAGATAATATATATTGTAAGATTCTAAGTATCGGGCCTCTTGAAATATGGTATAAGCTAAATACAAAAGGAATAGTGAAGAAGAAAGTTCTGTTCCTCTAGAAAAAATCTTGAAAGAGCCTCAAGGGCAGCCTGTAATAAATTGCAAACCACGAAGGTCATGAACTCGAGCTAAAGTCATGATTTAAGAACCTCGAATTTTGTAGATAAAGGATAAAAATGAAGAAAAAAAAATTAACACTAGAAGTATTTTCTTACTCCCAGATTTTCTTTAAAGATTATGATTATGTTAAGGATAATTTAATAAAGTCTAGTAATCATTTGTTTAATCCAATTTAAATCCTATTAATAAACTTTATTTATTATGCTGTAATGTTTTGTTTTGTTTGTTTTAATTATAAAGAAATGTACTGGTTAATATCTAAAGATATTATTATTATTATTATTATTTTATTACCATAATCTGTCACATGAGAAATTGAATTTTATAACCGTTATGGTGTATTTTTCTTAATTAAAAAAAACGTTACTGAAATAATAAATACTCACTGGTGTACAGACATCTAAACAGAATGAAACGGTCATTTGAAACTTCAGTGTAGGATCTGAAGCAAATTTGAATGCTTGAAATTTTCCTTTCAGTGATTTCGATCCCTGTTCTTTCTCTAATCCAGGAAATACCGTTGGTTCGAGTGGACAACTATTATAATATGAATTAAAAAAACAGTTTTAGAAAGCCTTTAATTGTTAAATATACACTATATAAGATGATAAAAATATTCATTACATATTATTACACATAAATATTTTATAAATATTCAAAAAAATTTAATAAAATATTCACAGAGTTTTAAATTATAATAAAATACAATGCATTCCCTTTACCCTCTGTCATCAACTAGTAATACTGTTTCTGTCCCTTGTCCACTTCTCGCAACCAAATCGCTCCCAAAAATTCCAAAAACACCTTAAAAAAAATACATAAATGATATACACTATAAAGTTAAAATACTCGTATAAATTATAATAATGTGGAAAATATGATAATTACTTTCGTCCATCATTTCTACTTTCAAGTAAAGTGGTTCACCCAAATCTACTCCGTTCACTTCTTCTCCTGATGAATTTAACACGCGTAACCTAACTGGTGGTGTAGGTGCTAACCCCGTCACAACTTGAGTTAAACTCTGTAGATCACTGGAATTAATAATACATAATAACACTTACAATATATAATTTGTTGAATAATTCATAATGATATTGTTTTGGAGTATCTAATTAAAACAATAAATAACATATGCTAAAATCATGAAATTGATAATATACTGTTACTAATTATAGATTATGTAAGCTAAAACTTTAGAAGGTATTTATTATATTAAAAATTTCATGCGAAAATTGTTTATAATAGATTTAAATAGTATAATTTTAAAATTAAAAAATTGTAAACCAGTTTATTTATTTATTGTTTGTATTCAAAATGGTATTTAAATTAGAATACTTACCCTTCTAATACCTGTTTTCCACCTCTCAATTTCCTTTGAACTTCTTCATAATCGCAAGCAATGTTAATTCTTCTATCTGATGTGCGTAGAATAAACGGGTGATGCTGGACAACAACACTATTTGTGAAAGTTCCATTCGCCTATCAAGATAAATATACACTTAAATTTTTAACCAACTCTCTTTTTTTTAGAAAAAACATAAAAAAAACTGTTAATACAGCATTCAAAGCATGTTTCCTTATGGAGATAAAATATGATTTATAACTGAGCTAAAAACAACGGCCATCATCATTTCGAGCAAAGTCAGATTTCCGTGAAAAAAAATTTAACATTTCCTCCGTATTCAAGTTAAAAAAAAAAAAACTATATTTAGAAGATATTTTTATAAAAATTTATCGGAAATATTACTCTATTTTTTTCATGTTTAAACGAATTTTCAAAGGATTGAACTCACTAGATTTTTTGTACCACATTTCCTGCCATGTAAAGGCATTGATAACGACACTTCTCCGTTAGATCCTACAGTAACAGCGTAACATTCGTAAGGATGACCCAAAGCATATACTCTTCCTCTAAATGGAGTGATGACTTTAATAATGGCAGTCATTGTTGTAGCTTCGCATTTCATTTCCACTAAAGAAAAAAAAAAGCAAGGACTTATCAAACGTATAAATCTTACTTTCAGGTTTAAATGAAAAATAAAATTCATAAATAATTCATGG